ATGGCTGGCAAGGCCATGTGATAACCAGTGATAGTGAAGAGTTGTACCTCTGGATGAGGAAGAAGATGAGGAACACCCACTGTGGTATTGCCCCTGTCCACCCACCAGCCAAAGTCCACATGAAAGGAAGAAAAGAGATGGATATGGGCATCCAAGGGATCCCAAACAAGGTTCCACTGATCTTGTAAAACCTGCTGAAGAGGTTGCATGTGGGCTCAATCAAGGGAAATTATGGCTTCCAAAGAAGCCACATTCTCAAAATAGATAGAAACTCTTACACAGTCGAAGAAGGAGAGAAATAAATGATTTGAACCAGATGCTCCATGCATTGCAGTCAAAGGGTGGGCCTGGCTGAGATGGGAATTAAAAAATACCTCAAGATGAACAAGGTATTTAGTTAGATAGAGGAAGGACTTTTCCACCTTGACCATACACTGGCTGATAATTGGATCCCGAGAAGGGGGAAAATATGAGATGAAGGGATAAGGGAGGAGGGGAACTGAAACAAAGAACGAGCTCTTTGGAAAGAACCTGTAGAACCCAAGATTCTGTGGGGAAGGACTCTCAAATGGTGGCAAAGTGCAACAACCTGGCACCCACTGGATCTGTACCTGCCAGATAGCCACAGATACCACTGGAGGTCATGAAGCTGTTGACAGACGAGCTAATGGTTAACCTCAGAGACCCATGTAGCAGGCATGGTAAGGGAGAGGAAGAAAGGGAACAGGTTCAGGAAGAGGTTCAGACAATCGAGAAGCCAATGAGGAAAGGGAGATATGCGAACATTCAGATTTGACTCTAGTCTCCAACAAGTCAGGAAGACCCCCAAAGATATCTTGCCTTAAAAAGGGAGACATGTGGAACTCATAAAAAAGTAAGGGATAAACATACACTGAACAAAAGGGCATCCTGACCCAAGAGATTTCAACAACAGAAGAGCAATGTTTGTAGGGAAAGGGCAAAAGAGGACTAGTGTGGAAAAAAGTAGGGTACCAGTCTCCACTGAAAACCCCTAATGGGAATGATGAAGAGTTTCTGACAGAAGGTGAATTGAGGAAAGGGAATGAAGGAGGGAGAATACTGTGAGGAGGACATGGGAAAATTGAGGTTGGGAAAACATTACCAAAGTATTGGGATCAAAACCCCACAGAGGCAGAAGAGAATCCAACTGCTGGGAGTCCAAAAAATGAAATGCAGACTTATAGTACGCTATAGCATAGCTTTCATATTACATGGGGGTCGAAGAATACTGAACCTTGAATGTAATTGGTCCACAAAACTATTGGAATAAACCCCAAAATCCGGCAAGGGAGGGAAAAAATATATATTGGTCCAAAGATACCTCACTTAAAAGGGAAGGAGAAGAGACACTTGAAACAGGGAACAAAGAAAAAACATAAATACCTGGTTTATTAACTCCATGAAAAGAGAAAGAGGCCTTGATACTTTCACAGGAGCTAAATGTGACTGTGTGGGAGAAAAAACAGGCTGTCCAAATCATTGTCCTCTTGCTTAGGTACCACTGAACAAGGCATGATAGGATAATCCTCAGGCAAATCAGGAGCCTGCATGAAGGAAGCCACTATAGTTGAAGTAAGGTTATTGTAGTAGAAACAGCAGTGGTAGTAGTTGTTACGTGAAACTCAAAATTCATGGTAATTAAGAGTGGAAGTATGAAAGCCTAATAGGAAGCTACAAAGAATCATATATTAGAATAAAAGACACGTAATGCTAAGGTGTGCTAACTAAAACTGCAGAACAAAATTGTAAGAAAAACTAAGTTTCCATAAAAAAACAAGAAACTGAATGAAAATTCTGTAAAGGAAAGCAAAAACACATCTTACTATTACAAGTGCCAATCAAGATGTGAATTTGAGCTAAGCTGCATAGATGGAGTCAGCTGTGCTAGGTGTTGTGTCACGCTCCTATTGTGGAGGGTTGTCACATACTCATTTGCTTGCTGTCATGCAGCTGCCTCACATGAAAACATGAGAGGGTAGGTGGGAGTATCAAGACTAGCAGTGAGCAAAAATTTGCCCATTTATAGGGCAGTACAACTTGGGAAAATCTATTCTGGGAGAGGAAGTAAGATATCATATCAGAAATATAGGTTTATGTCTGTTAAGAAACTATTCATGTCTTGTTTCTCATGAAAGTTTCCATCTCTATTAGTAATTTCATTACAAAAAGCATCTTGCTCACCCTTTTTATGATGTCACAGCAAGAGGTATGAACAATTAATAATGAAGTTCAGCTTTGACAATAGCTACATACAAAGTTTAAACATGATTGTACAGAGAAAATGATAAAGTATTTATAGCCAAGTAGTGAATAAAGTGGTCTGAAATATAATTTATGGTTTTGTGAAACATTTATTAGACATACCTCCGACAGAGAAAAACAATGGAATATAATGGAAAACCAAGAGGACTTAGAAATAAACAAAAGATATGGGGATTCTTTGATAAATTGTTTAGGCTGAGTATTCATGATGAAACTTTATAGAATGGACAGCAGTTGCCGTACATTGTACAAAATTTGATCGATACGGGAATTTTTTAATCGTTTTTTAGACATTCTTTTCATTCCTGAGAATGTTTTTATATTAAATTATATCTGTTTAAAAGCTACAAAAATCTTCTCCTGTGAAAAAAAGACATCAGATAAGCTTAATTAGATTTAGCAAGTACAGTAAGCAAGTATTAGAATTAATACAACAATTGACTGGTTACACAATACTCATTGATATAATAAAATGAATGATGAAATAATACCCACCAATAACATAACTTAACTCTGAACGATAATTTAATAAAACCAAGCCACCAACAATTTAATAACACTTTAACTGATAATGTAATAAACAGAATTATGACTAGAACCAGGGTGCCATAGTTTCAACTCACTGATATAATAAAATGAATGATAATATAATACCCACCAATAATGTAACTTCACTTTGAATGATAATTTAATAAAATCAAGTCACCAACAATTTGATAACATTTTAACTGATAATATAATAAACAGAATTATGACTAGAACCAGGTTGCCATAGTTCCACCTTTGTTTAAGCAAATCAAAATTTACATTTTTGGTGACATCTCCACCCTATATTTTTAGGATTTCACCATTTTTTCTTTAAGTTACACACATTTTTTTTCCCCTGAAATCTTGGAAAGATTTGATTTGGTAAAAAAAAATCATAACATTTTAGAATTTGTAGCAAATTTATCACCCAGTTCAAGAAGTATTATGTTCATTACATTACTGGTTAAAACCTTATTACATTATCGGTAGGTTATTGTTACGAAAGCAGGGGTCACGTGACACTAGTAACATGTCATATTCTCGAAGGTTCGTAAAGCCTCGAGCGTTTACTAGATTTCAGTATTCTTGTATATATAAAACCGCCAAGAAGTGACGGCAACAATGTAATTGCAGACAGAGATAGAGATGGACAGTTGGATCGAGCGCGTGAATCGTTCGTTGTGAATTATAGCGTTAGTTTAAGTTATAGCGTGACCATGGAAATTGAGTGAATTTCAAAGTTGTATTGAGAAAGAATAAACTAGTTTTATTTAAGAAAGGACTTGTATCGCTAAAGTTTCATCGGAAAGAAATTATACGGGAAATTAACTAACGAACAGAGACGTAACATTATTTTTATTATATTATCAATCAAAGTCTATTATACTGTTGGTAAGTATACATTATCACTTAAATTTTATTATGTTATAAGTAGGTATTTCATTATTGGTTGTAACAGGCAAAGGAAAAATATTCCAATGATTTAAATCCTTACTTATTGAATATTATTGTTAACATTATCATATTCAAACAGCATATAAATATTAAAGAGCTTATCATTTATTGAAATGAAACTACGTTTATTAAATATAAATTGTTCTTGACCAAGAATATTGTTAGCAAAAACACTATTATCTAGCCTGATATAGGTATATTGGTGATGCTATTTTGAAAGGTTGGGTCCTTTGTCAGTTTCATTGTGTTTTTAACAATTTATAGCAGGAAGTGATGACTATTGCAGTTGGCAAAAAAATATTAAAAGAAATGTATAAATAAACATGAAACTGACTGGATAGATTAAATGGAACTTTTTGATTAACCCTAACATCACTGAGAAAATTGAAACTCTATGTACAAAAGGAAGTATTTTTAATGTTCTCTCGAAATAATGTCTCACAACAAAATTTCAGAAACTTCACAATGTAAAAAATGTATTTCCAATGAGAGAAGGAAAAATCTGAAGGAATATTAGTGACATTCTGCTGGTACAGAAATGATTGGCATTGGAAAATGTTTTGATGCTACTATAGTGTGTGGTCTACAAAGATATTTAAACTATAGTGTGTGGTCTACATGGATACTATCATCATCACCATTTTAATGATTCACTAAAACATAATTTCTTGCTAAATAATTGATATCTATCCACATTTTTGTTCAGCAAATAATAATAATTGAATAAGTTGTGTGTTCCAAAAGAGTACCTTAAATCTAAGTTATAATGGTGTTAGTTTTGATTGTTGGAATTCATTTCATTCTGATTATATTTGTTCCCAAAACATTATGTAATGGTATTTGGTACTTCATTAGCTTATTTATAATAAATGGCACCAATTGCAAATAAATGAAAGTTAAATGGTGATGATGATAGTATATGTGTAGACTGTAAGCTATAGTGTAAATATCTTTGTAGACTGCATGCTATAGAAGCACCATTTTTTTTCAGTAAATTAAAAAATCCTAAATATTAATAAAAGTAATGTTCTATAAACAAAGTTGGCAAGAAATGTACATACCATTGGATGAAATACTGTTCACTGTTCTACTATAAATATGTTCCTGATGTTTTCACAACCATTGTCAAATACTACTTTTAAAAAAATGCAAAATGTCTGGCTCAAAATGACCCTTTATGAAACCATATGTAATTAAAGAGACACGTGCATCTCATGGTTGTAACTTACACTTACCTCACTTGAAATCTCTTTTGTTTGACTTTTATTCATTATAAAAATCTTGGCAACATCCTCATTAGGACCCAGCATAACCCTTGTAAGTAATGGGTATTCTTGATCCTGAATTTGTCGACATTCTAGAAAGTTAAAAAATAGAAAACAAACTTGTTTTTAATCACATACCTACAGTACAGATAGGAACTAATGCTTTGCTAGACAACAATTTTATAAGATGTATATTATAATAGATCATAAGAAATGCCTCAGTCAAGTACAATTGAAAACTAGAATATGCTCAGCAGAGCCTAATCTCACATTATTGTCTACTAGTAGAATGCAAAACTCACAATACAGCATTTGCTAAGTAGAGGCCTAACAAAAGTGTAATTCTTACATAAGTGTTTTGATCAGTATATTTTATATATTAAAAAAATTCACATATCTATCTTTACAACAAAGGCCATTAATTTAGGTTTGCCATAATCAGGGGTTAAGTTCTGCTGGTACTCACTGGCACTAAGTACTGGAACTTATTGTTTTATGGCAGTACTAGTACTTGGACTTATCTAAGCTGTTTTGTTATTTTTTATGTTTATACATAGAATTCTTTTCCCCTTTTTCAAAAACAGGTCCATTTCACCCAGCTGAGTACATCTACTATTTTTGGGGGAATTTCACCTCTGGCTATAATGCTGAAATTTATGACATATTTTTGCAGTTGATCATTGGATAGCATTCAACAAAATTTAAATATGTGGTCCATAAACAGAGTAATAAAGCAGGTAAAACTCAAATACCCAACAGTTTTAATAAACCATGAGCATACATTAAATTTCAAAGCTAAAAAAAATTAATTCAAAGCATAATCTCACAGAAAAACACATTAATGAAACATTACCTATCATGTAAAAGATAATGAATATAAGAAAGTATATTTCACTACAAATGACAAAAACAACAGAGGTCTTACATAACTAACATATGGATGAGTTAAATAGTAAATTTCTAACAAAAATGTATTAACAAGTTTAAAAATATACAAAAAATACATTTCATAAATATTTATTTATTTTCCTTTTAGCAGATTATTTAATTAATCTTAAATTTTTTGTTTAAGACAAATGAAGAACAAACAAACTTAAATTCACTCATTTACTTGAAGGTACTGTACAGTTATCACACAAAAACAGTTATATTTTAATAATACATAAATGAAACAATTTGGAATGAAAATGTGACAAAATTTCAACTTACTGAAATAAAATAGCCAAAAGAATATCTTGCCATTCTTACCTCCTGTGTCTCTGACTATAAACAGTGCAAAGTCATCACTACTGTTTTCTACCTTAAATTTGTCCAAAAGCATGTTAATAACTTCAGGAGTTGTGACTAAACTGGTTACCCAAACTGTAGTTACAGTTCCATAACTGGGCTTAAACACACTTGTCTGTAAAGATACAAATAAATTAACACAAAAAACGCTCATATTCCATTCATCACAGGAAAAGCAGCTACAGACCAAAGTTAAACTATCCACACAGTAGTTTTATAATTCAATTAATTTTGTTATTTATGAATTATGCCCTAATATCAGTTGAGTCACTGTTATTCAAAACATCTGTAATATATTTAAAACCTTGATATTTGGGATAAGACTAAGTAGCTAATGTTTATGTAGACTTAATTTGATTATATTCTTTAAACCTTTTCTTCTAAAATGAGTTCTTAATACGAAATCACTTCATGCATTGCTACTTGTTACTGCTTCTCCTTACTGCTGATTATTCTTAGACTTGATTGTAGTAAACATGTACATCTGAAGTGAATCAGAAGACCTTGTAATAATAACCTCCATGTATCTTGGTACTCAATCTACAAGTGTTATTATTAGTTTTCAGTATCTTCTCTGTTTCTGCCATTCAAACTGAAACTTATTAAGCTGTTTATCAAATAGTTATATATCAATGAAACTTAGAAAATAAACTGATTTTGCAATAGTATATTTGAGGTATTATTTGTAAAATACTGTTATAAAATTTATTATAAACTAGGGATGCATGGGTACCCAGCCAGATATTCGGCCACAGCTGGTTATTGGGCTACCCGGTAATACTCGGCTCCGGATGAGTGTCAAAGTTAAAATAGCTGAATCTGGGTAATTGAAAATGACATCTAAGCCCTAATCTTTGTGGCAACTTACGCAGTAGTGAAAGTTACATTCAATACTTAGTTTAGTTAAAAAAACGTGTTCCGAGCAACAAAGACTGACCGCCCGCTGAAAAATTTGGATTCAGAGAACAATAGAGGTTAATAACAGGTATGGCTCGAGAAGTGGATTTCTGGGGAAGGTGGGGGTTTTGAAAACAATAGGGATTAGGGTTTGAGAAGTTGGGGCTAGGTAATAACTGGAATAATGATTCTAAAATGTGTCAACATCACTGTTTCTGCATTTACTTTCACTAGCCTCACTTTTGGAAGTAAAATGAAGCTCGAAACACTACTGTTCCTCAAGTACAATTTAAATAAATTCCACAAATATAGGCATTCTGCAAACTGGTGTGCACAATTTTGTTAGTTAATTCTGAAAGTTGAAAGTAAAACTGCAATGTTCTATTGGTGATTATTTGGTTAAATGTAATAAACATCAATTTGTTTTTGTTTCTAATTTTTGTGTATGTCGCAGTCCCAGTTTACACCTGGCCCCGGGCCAAAGCTTAGTGGCCGGGTCGGACCCAGCATTCAGCCAAATTTTACTATCCGTGCATATTATAAACATAAAAGCCAACATTCATATAACAAATTTTCATAAAAGCATAACTTCTGCTGACAAAAACTGACTTTCAACGTAGTTGCCAATATTTGTTAAACTGCACATAGACAAGCATTAATAGCATACAACCTTTAACAGAGGTTCCCTAAAATACTACTTCATACGTATATTTTAAAAAAAATCCATTTTAAAAACATGACCCATTTCAAACAATGACTCTCCATTCTAACTCACTTCAGGTATGGGATAAAGCTATAGACTTTTACAAGAACACACAAAATACATACCCATGAAAAATAACTATGACTTGCTGTACCTTTTCTGCACCATTACTGTGAAGTTTTAAAAACAGGAAATACTCCAAAACTTTAATCAACAAAAAACATGACAGACTTGAAACTATGAAGATAGTAAGTTCAATATTTCTAAAATATTTAATTTTTTTAAAAGTTATTTGATGTTTAATAAGTTCAATATTTCTCATTCATAACTAAATTTAGAAAAGACAACCATCAGCATTTACAACTTCCATTGATAACCATTTTTGCACATTTCAGATTTGTAGCACATTTTATGTATAATGAAAAAAATAACATATCTTCAAAGCTGTGAACTGAATTAAGCTCCGAAAAATGAGATCTGGGACAACCTAACATTATTTGAAGAAAACCTGAATTATGTAATTTATGTTTTTAAGCTAGATTAAAAATATATAACATAGATTAATTTAGATCATACCTTTTATTTTATACCAAGTTTTAATTTAGGAAGAAAAAGTTATGTCAGGAATAATTATTTTTATTACACTTAACTTGGTTATTTTAAATACTAATATTTTACTAGTTATTGTAAGATTTTCTTATTTATATATCTTTTTATTACTTTTCTGTCTTCATGAACATTAGGTTTTTGATGTGCTATCTGTACCATCCTGCTACCTGACTATAGTTAAACAATAATGTCATTGTAATGTATCTCAAATGTTCAGCTACCCTACAGTTATACTGCTGAAGCTATTTAATGGGCTTTCATTGATACTAGCCACTATTAGGGAGGATTATATGAAGTTTTGATTATACTGGTGTCATGCTTTTCAAGAAACAGAGAATCAATGATAGTTCATAGAGCTAACAACTAAGTTTTGTATGTTTTTGTAAGTAACTTATATTCTAGTCATTCCTTAATGTTAATTTCATTAACAGGATTGATAAAATGCTTAATATACATAATATGTTCCTTATTATTTGTAATTTTTTTATCATAATGATTATTATGCATTGCTATCTTAGTACATGGATTTAGGATTAATCTAAATCCTCCAAACTGCCAAATCTCATGAGATATTATTGGGATTACAGTAAAAAATATCACTAATAGCAAATTATATTCAACTGATAAATCAATTCATTCTTATCATTATAAGTCAAAATGGTATATTAAATTACCTACTTTAATTACATGGTTAATATTTCAGTCTTGATCTATGAGGGCAACATGCTTTGATTGAAAGTTAATGAAAACTGTCTTTTAACATTATTTTTTATACTCATCAATGTAAAGTGAAAGTATAGAACAATAATCTCTAGTGCATGTTCCCAGATTATTTAATAAAACCAAAAAAAATTTTGGATCTTCAGTTCCAGTTTGAAAGGCTTAGACTGCATGCTGAAATAAATATATACATCAAGAGCAGAACTAACACAAAATTCTGAGAATCAATGCAGTTCAAGCATTTGATAAAAACAAGAGAATAAATGTATCAAAATGTTTAGAAGGAAAAAACCCACGGATGTATTTTTATGCAAATTTAGGCTCTCTGATTAACAGTGAGTATAACAGGATAAGCCATAAATGATAACAGATGCTTAAATGTAACAGAAATTAATGACTTTTGAAACTGTTGAAGCCATATCTCTCAAGTACTATCATACAGCACAAACCTAGAGAAAATGGTTTAAAAAAATCAAGGAAAACACAGATGAAAACTACATTGTATAGGTGAGCCATACAGTAGATTACTGGGACCAGTGCAAGAAATTAGAGGAAATTTCGGGAAACTACAAACATTTTCAATAACTTATATTTAATGAACAGACCACTAAAAACACACTGCCACCTGAAATTAAAAATGTTTATTTTATCCATTCCTAGGATATCTTCAACTTAAGTACTTATCAATTAAGATATAGAATCACATTGTTATGGATGAGTCTTTTGTGACTAAAAATACAACCCATTTGGTTGACTTGACTCTAAACAGAAAAGTGTTTATGCCATGTACTTGTAATTAACTGTTTACATAATAAAGTTGTGCATCCACTGTGATTTATTAAGTAGTGTTCAGCTCTAGCTGAAATTTCAGTTAGTGTAGAGACAAAGTTGAAGAGAACAAATTCATTGTAAAGAAATATTCGGCTACATTCATGTACAATTATTTTCTAAACTAAAAAAAATGAGTTTCTTTCATAGTAAATGTTAGTAGGAAAAATAAATTCTTTGATGTACCTATAACTTAGAAGTACATTTAGTGATTTACCTCTCGATTATAAAAATGACCATTAATTGAGCAACGACGTCTAATCTTGGCTCGTGATGACTTCAAGTTCCTTCTCAGAGGTACATTTTCAAGTTCTGTATCTAATAAAAGGTCATTTAGATCTGTCCTCAAATTATTAGACTCAGTACTTCCATCACTTTCTCCAGAACCATGATTCAGTTTTGTTTCCTTCATTAATCCTGCTGGAAGAGTTTTGTAAACTCTTCCAATCTCAGATGATAAACTTTCTTTATCATCATTGCTCATATCAGAGAACTGAAGAGGAGCCTTGTGGGGAAGATTTTTCAACACTTCACTAAAATCACGGTTCACTTTATCACTCATGTTATTCAACCAGTCAAAATTGTCACTTCCAACTAAGTCAAGAAGGTCATCCATCTTCTAAGAAAGAAAAAAATACATCCTTTTATGCATTATCATAAATTATGTTTATAAATGATAAAAACTAAAATGTACATTAACAAAGTAACATAATAAATTTTCAATGCAACATAGTATTGCTGAGTTTCATGACACACAAACAAACCATAAATCATTATACATCCTTTTATTTATAAAGAAACAGATAATAAAGAAAATCTCAAATTAACAAAATTAAGATTTGTTTTTTGGAAAAAAGATTAAAAATACTTCAACTTAGAATTTAAATGTTCATAGTTGGTCAAAATGTTCCATTTTATATTTTATATGTCCATTTTGATTGATTTTCATTAACATATTTATTTTCTTTATTTTATTGATTGCAGTAGTCATCACTTCCATTAATAAATCGTAAAAAAATGGGCTATCTATGCTATGCCCAATGTTAGCCTTAGAAGTTGTTTTTTTTTTACTTTAAATCTGTTGAGCTTTGGTGATTGGGAGGAGAAGGGCCAACAATTCACTGTCACTAATTTTGAATTGTTGATAGAAAAAAGGCAACTGTCTAACAGCACCCAACAAAATTATTCTTTTTGTTTTTATTATATTTTTTCTTTTTATTTAACTGCTAACTATAGGAAAGGCAATTGTATGGCAGAACCTACTGCTAACTTTTACTTGTTTGTTTGTAAGTACCATGGTCTTAAGAACACTATGCTAATCAATTAACTTACTGTAACTGATTAATGGGGCTGTCGAATAATCAATTAGCAAATACTACTAACCACCCAGAGCTAGTAAGATCAGGTTAGGTAACAATATTCTTGAATGAAAACATTTTATATCTAATAAATATACTTTATTTTCAATAAATTATACATTCTTTTATTTACGTGCATTGTTTGAATATGATAACTTTAAAAATAATCTTCAATAACCAAGGATTTGAGTAACCAGAATATTTTGTCATTCCTTCCTTACTATCTAAACCTAATAAGGCTTACTTAATATCTTGTCATAGAAAACATTTTACTGTAGCTTTCAAACATATATAACATAAAATAAAAATATTTTCATGATAAAAGAACATCTAAAAAAAATTATACAAATTTACAAGATTTGTAGTTTGTTACTAAGTTTTCTAAAATTCCCATAAAAATCTGGCCTTCTTTTCAGCAGGACCTATAACTTATCACTTTTCCATGCCCCCCCAGTGGTACAGCTGCATGCCTGTGAACTTATACCAATAGAAACTGGGTTTTGATATCTGTGGTGTGCACAGCACAGATAGCCCATTGTGTAACATTGTGCCTAACTACAAACACAAAACAAAACAGTTTACATAAAAGTATAAATACTTCTCACGTCACTTTATTTACTTTACGTTGATATAAAGAGTTGATTACGTGCTCCATCAAATGATACTTAACATTTGCCTGTAGATATTTTCAACGTAGAGATTGATTCATTAGCAGTTATTTAGATAACATAATGTAAGATCATAAAGGGTAGTAAGCAGTCATGTGGCAATAAAAGCAGAAAAAGAGAAGGAAAACCATGTAAGAAACAAAATATGGGTAATTCTATTCTCAAGGGATGGTAGTTTCTTATACATATATGATTTGGGATGGACAGAAAAATGCTAAAAAAAATCTACAAGTGCACTGTTCACAAGCAAGACTTCTCAGAGCTGTACAGAAATGTAACTTCTGAACAATTTTGAATTTCTTTTTTATGAATTATATAAATAAATGTTACAAAATGGAAAAATGTTAATTTAAAATATTTTTCAGTAAACAATTGTGGAAATAGTTAGAATTATTATTTTTTACTTAAATTTTGAAATTTGGCATAGAGGTGGGCCCCAACACCTGAAAGGTGTTCATCAGCTCAAAAAGGGTTAAGCTAGAGACTGGAGTTGTTATTGCCAGTAAGCAACACATCTACAATCACTTGGAAATAATTCAAGTCATGTCCTTGAAACATAAGAAAAAATAAAATAAGGCATCATATGTTAACAAACATTGATGGGATCCATAACACGAGCTTATAGATGACTAACATATCACACCATATTTAAAACTTTGCTCTTAGCCTTAGAATGAGCATGTCAAAAGCAATTAGCAAGCTAAACATTTGATATTAGTAAACATAAATAGCTAGATCTTTAACTTTTTAACATATTCATATGTTCCTTAGAATTGCTGGTAATTCAGACTTGGTGTATGCAATTGATGTTAGCCATCTTTGTTTTAACATTAAAACATCCACTTATGTGTATGCGATAACTTTAAGAAATTTAAAATTTTGTTAAAAATATTGAAACAAAAAGAGCTGAGGTAAATTCTAAAGAATGTACATATAGTGTACCTCTTCATACAACGACTGCAAATTGAGAAAAAGAAAATTAATTTCACTTGTTTTGAAGCTTAACTATATCTTTTTGGACATGTGCAAATAAATTAATACCTTTTAAAATAAATTTCTCTGTTTTATCCCCACTTGTGAATTATGTTTCTGTAGAAATGTATATTTGATCATTTATGAACATTATATGCTACTCTTCTTTTTTAAGTTTTACTTTATATGGGTATTAATATAATATTTACCTTCAGACACTTTAAATGATAAAAATTAATAAAATTCACATTATTATTTGTACAATAGAAACCTACAAACTAATGGATTTGGTATATGAATACTGTTTCTTAACAAGAAGGCATGAGTAATGAATTAAACTGACTGCCCCATATAGTTGTACTTCAATAAAATACATGTCCCAATTATTACATCAATATTGCTTGTTTCAAGTACCTTTGACACCAGTAACTGTAGTGGTTCTCATATGACATAGTACTGCAGTGCTAAAAATAGTGCCAAATTTTTTATTTGCTGTTCTAAAAACTGCTTTTGAAGGTTTGGTGCAGAGAAAACGAGCTGACAATGCTTTATTATGCCTTTCATTGGAACAGAAACACAGAACTCTGACATTAGAAAACTAACTACATTCCACCTTCTCCCACCATAATATGTTAGTCATTCTGTTGATCAAATTAATATTTATTTATTTAATGTTTATAATTTATTATGAAAAAACACTGACATTTATAGAAGAATATTTCTCCTGGTTTATTTTTACTTCAACCACTGAATTAACAACACTGGTTATAGCAGCATAAAATGTCAGAAACAGAACTATTGATGATGAACATGTAAATAATAATGGCAAATATTCAATTTTTTAAACAATCTAGATAAATATTAAAAGAAAGTTCTAACGTACTTTTTAGTGTCACAGAGCAATTACATTATAGTGTTTTTGCATCCTTAAACTAACATCATGTTATGCTACAATATACTGTTGTGAATCCCTGTATGTAATTTAGAACATTCTTAGATAGAGCCAAAAATCTGTGGTTTGAAAAACAATACATATCTACTTTGTAACATAACTAAATCTCATGAATGTATAATGTTGAGATTACTGAAGGTATAAGATTACCTGAGAAAGGTTCTCATTTCCATCTGAATGACGGAAACTCTTCCTCTTTCTCACAGGCATTCTATCATCATGATCTTCTTTTAGATGTATAGCTTTACTAACTCCCCATGAAATTCTAAGTGTTCCTTCCAAGATAAGACGACCATTTCTCTGAAATAATGAACAAAATATTGATACTATATCTGTATAACATTTAGGAGTATCTTAGCTAAAGAACCTTAATTACTAACACAAGCTATATTTAGTTGGTGGATAGAACAAAGAAATTCCTTCTACAGTATTGTACATACATCATTCCTTTCAAAATTACCATAGTTTATAACCTAAAATTATTTTTCTTGCTTGGATACAATTGACATGTATTTATCTTTTTTAGAATTAGAAAATTAAAATTTTCTAACATATTTACTTCAGGAAATACACACACATCATAAATTTCAACCCAACCCAGCATTTTCTTTTAAGTTGCCATACATTATATTTTAGTGAATGCATTTTCCGTTCTTTCAACCAAAATTTCATCAAATCTCTATATAACTAAAAACTGAGCTTGATCAACTATAATTTTAATTTTTAATAATCAGGCACTCAAACAACAAACAATTTTATAAACAGTGTTATAATTAATTATATTTGTCATAAGACAGTACGTTAGGCCTATTACATTTTTTAACACTACATTCCTAATCTAGTCCCTTATAGATTTTCAGGAATTAGAAGAGTGTATAATAACAGAATTTCAAACACACTATATTCATCATAGCCATTGTTGACGATGCATTTCACTCAGTCCAGAGCTTTTCTGGCTGGCTGGGATACAATAAACACAGTAGTGGTCAGGGGAGTACTATTCATATAAGCCATTTGGTACAACAACAATTTTTATTGTGTGAATGCCTTTTAGAAGCTTAATATAATAGGCCTAACATAAAGTCTTATGACAAATATAATTAATTATATCATGCTTCACCAGCTTCTAAAAGACATTCAAACCATAATGATGTTGTAATTTTGAAAATATTATAAATATTCTGAAATTAGAATTTATTTTTTCTTAGTTCATTATTATTGATAATAAAATCATTAATATTAACAAAAAAAAAGCAAACAGTTAACTGAGTGTACAGATTGTTGATAAATCTAATTTTCAAATAGTATAAGACTTTGGAATGGAATGTTTCCTACATATAACCCAACAAGAGAATATATGTCTGTAGTGTTCCAAGCAGAGCTGGTTTATTTAGTCGATTACCTATGAGCAGTGCCTATGAGCAGTGTCATATAAGCTCATCAATTAATTGAAATTAATCTTTCAAATTATTACTGTTTTTGGTTATTCTAACAACCAATTAATGTTCACAAAAATAATCAACTAATCAAAATTACAATGAAATGGACTATCATAAAAATAAACAATTAATTGAAATTAGGGTTTTCAATTATCCCTATTTTCGATTATTCCAACTATCCAAGTAATGAAAATATTGCTATCATGCTTGTTTGTTGTTAAGCACAAAGCTACTTAATGAACTACCTGTACTCTGCTCAATTTTAGACTTACAAGTTGTTGTTTTTACTTGAAGTTTGTTCATCGGTATTAATCGAAAGAAGGGCTCATAATTTCCATTTCCATGAAACTTACTCATCCTGTCTTTGGTATGGCAAAGCTACTTAGACTATTTACCACCAGGGCTGGATTAAGGTTCAGTGGGGCCCTTACTTATGCCCAGGTAATATTTGTAAATAATGATAATAATGACTTTCTTGCCTCTATTCTGCTAGCTTTATAAACCACAATTGTTTTACTTGGGTGGCCAGGGAGGCCCCTGTACGGACTAGGCCTAGGTGGCCTATGCGTTAATTTGGTACTCTCTGCCAATATCATTAATTTTGAACAATTGATTAGAGGGAATATTTTAAAACAACTTCCAGATTTTTGGCAAATACTGATTATGTATATATATATATATATATATATTTTTTTTTTATAATGGCAAATTTCTGAGTCACTTTCATTTTACATTATAACATATTTTTGTAAAATTATAGTATTGAAATATTTAATTTTCAGACAGATTTACTGTCCAAGTATTGGACTGGCCAGTTTAATTTGAATAAATATTTCATATGAGTGTTCCAATGATTTAAGAATTCCTTACTTCTCTACTTCTGATTTCTCCACTTCTTCCTTCATAAAAATTATTGTAAATTCTTAACTTTGCTTGCAAGTGTGTCCTGGAAAGAAAATTTAAAAAGTTTAATTTTTGGTTTGGAAACACTATACAAATGTATAAGAACCATGTTAAATGCAATTTCTTTTGAAACGTTCCTTAAAAAATAGGCATAAATTCTCTTTGGAAAATATGCAAGGGCAAATGATTTAAGTTAAAATATTTTCTGCATTTTAACTTAAAAGTGTAAATATATGACTTAATATATAGAACACTTTGTTTATATTAACAACAAAGACAACAAAATCTGTCACATATCACACAAAAAACATATCAAATTTGTTTGAAGTTTTAATGAAAAAAGTACCATACTTTAATATTTTTCTTTTTTCTAACCCAAGAAAGGACTTGATAGTTATTGTCTGTCTTCCATTTTACATCTAATGTTTTTGATTGTTATCAAATATTACACTGCATGAAAGAATATGTACTGTAATTCTTATTTTTACCAAAAAATTAACATGTACTTATTCTTATTTTTTCCTGTAGCATACTTTAGTGACAGCCTTCACAATTTTTTCTTGAAGATAATACTTCAGTACCTACAGAGTCTCACCAAGCATTAAACAGTGTTATTTGAACTTTTATCAAAAGGTCTATAACCTTACAAAATAATGGTACAGAAGTGTATTCATCTTAATTTCTGTAACAGTACTTAACCCATTGACTGCTGAATTGTATAAGGTATGCTCCAGTAGACTGCAAGTGTACCCTATACAGTGTATGGCTTGCACAAAATTCAGTGAGCATTAAGAGCAGCCACAGTCAATGGGTTAAACATTAGATGAAAACAAAAAACGATAAAGATAAAAAAGTGATGCAATGATACCTTGAAGTTAATGAATCAGTTTATTTTCAGAGAAGAACTGTTTTAAAACTATACCTATACTGACAGTATTTGAATAAATACTCAGAATAGCTTTTGTAGAAATGATATTAACAAAATGATGCGACAATAAATTGCATCTAGTGCAAGTATATATGCATTCTTGTTAAAATTATTAAAACCTTTGAAAATCACCTATTTTTCTCCTTAATAAATAAGCTTAAAAATCTCTGGTAATTTTTGAATTTTGAAATGAGCATTAATCATTATTTGTTATTTAAAGATTAATAAAAGGACAAAAAATTTAATTTTCCATCACAAAAACTACAACTTGGAATAGACTAGTGAATGTCTATACATGTATTAACACTTTCGAGATGGGTCACGGGTGGAAGGCCATGTCATCTCATTTGTTGACTCGCACTCAAAATTTTATTGAACTA